TATATCTGAGGAGGGATTTTTTTTTTTTTCTGGGTGTCTATGTTGAGTAATAGCTCCCAGTGCACGGCCTCCTAATTGTTCCTGTCAGCCTGGTAAATCACGGCGCTCCTGCCTCCTCTCCATCACGCGCTCCTCTTGCATAAGTCCACCATCAGATCCTATTGGAGGCGGCCTTCGAGAGAGAACAGGGCTATGAGCTGTGATAGCTCCAGTCGCCGTGATGTGTGGGGAGCCCAATTAGCGCCCTATTTCCACCACGCACAGGGCTGCATGGCTATCCTTATACGCAGCAACAGTTGGCTGAGATTAGTGCTTTTTGTGATGGTTATTATTACTATTTTGTGTGTATATGTTTCTAAAATGTGTCTGATCTAGTGTATATGGTTCATTTATTTCAGTAATTCAATTTAAAATGTGAAACTGTTATTTGATGTAGACTGTTTACATGTGTTTTTAGGCAAGACACTTCACCCACATTACCTAGCACAGGTGTCTCCAACCTTTTTCACCCAGAGAGCTACTTTCCCTGGACGATAAAAGCAGAGAGCTACTCCTTTAAGCGGCCCTGGGAAAAAAGTTGGGATAAATTGATGTGAACAAGAGTGATATTGGAACAGTCATTATTTATCACTGCATATTTGTTACTAGTGACAAAGTAAGTGCTTTTTCAATATAGAAAGATTATTAATACTATCTGAAATATTACATATATTGTTTGATTTGTTAATTTCTTAGTCCTTTGGCGAGCTACCTGGAAGGGGTTGCGAGCTACTGGTGGCTCCCGAGCTACAGGTTGGAGACCCCTGGCCTAGAATGATTCTAGTGTGTGTGTGTGTGAATGGCTGGTGGGGGTTGGAGGGGCCGATGGCACATACTGGTTGCATCGCTTCTGTCAGTGTGCCCCAGGGCAGCTGTGGCTAGAGTGGCAGTTTACCACCACCGTGTATGGAGTGAAAGAATGATATGTAAAGCGTCTTTGAGTGTCCTGAAAAATGCTGTATAAAACCCAAGCATCATTATTATTATTACAAACAAATTGACGTACTGTGTGTCAAGCAGTTGCTACACTTTTGATGCTTCCAGTTCAATTTCTGAATACTCTAATTTTATATTGGGTTACACCAATTATCACCATGATATCTCACTTTCGCTGTAATTGTCACGAGGTGAAAATGAGGAAGACTCAAAACGCAGGAATGCCAAAATAAAGCTTTTAATAAAACAAAGTCCAAGGCAAAGAACAACTCCAAAAATCCAAAGTGAACAGGACAAAACTAGACAAGACAATGCAGCAGCAACAAGGGGAGAGAAGCACAGGGTACATATAGACACAGACACAGGAGAAACGCACCAGGGCGGGGCAGACAATCAAGAGGGGAACAGGACATGAAGTAAAACTTAAATGAAACCAGATAACTAATGTCAAAATAAAACCAAATACAGAAATAAAAATCCACACCATGACAGTAATGGGTCATTCAGTTTCACATTGTGTGTTGAAATACAGAAGTAAATTTACTGTGATGTTTTAATTGTCTGGGTTTTTAGTTTATGCCAACCCTTTGTTATTATTATTATTATGATTAAGTTTCAAAATATTAGACTTTTTATTTGGGGTCCTTAAAGGTCCTAATATCACGCTTTTCTTCATGTTTCACACTCAATCCTATACACATGTGTGATATTAATGTGTATGATACACCACACAACAATCAAAGCTTGTGAGATTAGAGCCATCTCTTGTATAGAGGTGACATCACCTCGACTCAAACGAGCTGATTCAGAGAAGAGTCTGCTCCTCTAGCTGTGAGCCCGCCTCCCCCCGCCCGCACGGTGACGTAGCATCACGCTTTTGTCGTTTATCACCTGTACTTAGTAATTTCATACATAAGAATAAACTTTTTCCAACAATGACAATCCGTCACATCGAGCCCTATGTCCTCGATGCACAATCAGACCCTAGTTATTTAGTTTACAGAAGTATACAGCGAGTTAGCGTCACTACTTACAGATCGAGGGGGTCCGAGTTACGTCTTTTACCGTGGGAATAACGTGTTTCCAGATCAGCTTTTGAGTAAGTCCAGTTCCATTGTCCCTGTAGTTCTGGAACAGTCTCAGTGAAGTGTCGCAGATGAACCGGTATTATAATAGATCCATGAGATGAACAGATGAAAAAAGTTGAGCCGCTTTCTTCCTCTTAGGGCCAAATAGTGTGTCACATATTTACACCCATAACACACTTCATTCAAGTTGACGTGATCCTAACACTTTTAGTTGCTGACAAAAGCATAAAAACAGCAGCTCTATGTGGTGTCCGCGAGACCAGACCACAGACGCTGGACTCGGGAGCCGGAGCCCGTGCGCTCTGATTCGCTGTTTTGATCCGTCAATCACCTCCCGCCGGCTTTTAATTTATTTTTATTTTTATTATTTTTGACAAAAAACAGCATACTAATTGTGTATTGTTTACCCCGTTTTGACAAAAGTATTTAACAACTTTTAAATTCAAAGAAAACGGGGTCATGGGCGTCATCAGTGTGGTTTTCGTCACTGAAGTGGACCCGAGCGTTTCTGTGCCTCACGCTGGGGAAGGAGACAGATTGCTCTCTTACAAAAGATTGACAGAATCAATGAATAAACTACTGTGGGCTTGTGTATGAAGGCCAAATAGCATTGTAATCATGTTTAAAGCAGAGAAAAGTCAAAAACCCTGATATGGGCCCTTTAACAATATAACAGATAAAGGCTTGGTATTTCTCACATTGCCTGTAATGTATGGAGGACCAAAAATGACTAAAGTATAAATAAATAAATAAATAAATACAGGAATATATTAATAAATACATTCATTTTGGACAATAAAAACTAAATATTTACATTGATGTGTTAAATATTACTATGAAATCAAATAAATATACTTTTATTTAGGTTATTTATCAATATCTACATTTTTCCTTTATTTATTTATCCATTTATTGCATATATTTATTTATGTATTTCTACATTTCTTCATTTATTTATTTATGTATTTCTACATTTCTTCATTTATTTATTTATGTATTTCTACATTTCTTCATTTATTTATTTATGTATTTCTGTGTCGCTACATTTCTTCATTTATTTATTTATGTATTTCTACATTTCTTCATTTATTTATTTATGTATTTCTACATTTCTTCATTTATTTATTTATGTATTTCTGTGTCGCTACATTTCTTCATTTATCTATTTTTGTATTTCTACATTTCTTCATTTATTTATTTATGTATTTCTACATTTCTTCATTTATTTATTTATGTATTTCTGTGTTGCCGTATGCTAATTAGGCGGGCGGTGCTGAACTCAATCAATAGCAGGATTGGTGGGCAGTAGGTCAGCCAGGGCAACCAGACAGAAGCAAAGTTAGCCTTCTCGGTTTGTGAGAGGATGTGAAGCTGCTGTATAGCTTGTTGAAGAGCGTCCAGCACAGTTGCATCAAAGTCTACCTCTGGGTCAGCACTGTGATGAACTAAAACATCTATAGTCATAACTTGAGGGTTTCCAGCCGAAAGAGTTCCAGCCGAAAGAGTAGATAGTCCTCACACAGCAGGCGGCCCGTCTTTCTTTCTTTTTCAAATGTATGCGTTTAGAGTTTTATTTGCGTTGGCCGAGGCTTGTGCTGGATGGTGTTTGTTTGTGCCGACGGTCGCAGGGTTGGATTCCTCCTCCCAGGCCTTTTATGGAGCTTGCATGTTCTCCGTGTCTGCGTGCTACCATAAAAACATGTAAAATAGGTCTGCATGAGCCTCAGTATTGTGACCCGTCCCAGTGGAGGACAATTGCAAACAATCGTTAAAGCGCTTTTGTGATTCTGGTCTGTGAACGGCGCTTATGAAGATACAACCAAGCAGGGACATCCTTACTCTCTGTTTGTTCAGTTGTTTGTTAGAATATGGAGTCGATCGTAAGAGTGTAAAGTACTGGGGGTATGTAATGGACCAGCAGAGCCACACCCAGAGGGTGTGGTTGGCTTATACCCAGCGCTGGACCTAGGTATGAACTCAATAATGTTGTTAAACCAACACTGTTTAGGAAACACCCATAACTTGGTAGCAAAGCACCAAGTGATTCCACTTGGAGGTGATGGAGTCAAAATTGCTTAATTAAGACATTTGGGGGTCGGGCTCGCGTCCAAACGGGCACCTGAGTGGAACCCATCATTCAGAAATGTTTTATCTGATGGAAAAAAAAGTTGATACCCAATATTTAGATGATCACTTGTGACACATAAAATAATGCTACAGTAGTGAAGGTGATTACACATTGAAGAATGGAGATGTCTGTAAGATCTCAGCTCATCTTATTACCTTTCTTCCCTTCTGCTCTACGTAGTGCCTTGACGGCTGGTTTTCCGGTCTGTTGCTCAGTCCACTAGATCCATTAATGTCACGTGTCAAAGAATGTGATGACTCAGGCATTCAGCATGCCGCCACAAGAAACCCCGATCCTTAGAGCACATTGGAACGAGGGGACCAGTACATACCCTTTTTCCTTCCAGTGGACATGTCACGTAAAACAAGAACCTAATTGGAAAACAAAAATTAGACCACCATCAGTCGTGCATTAAGTGTAGGATCATAGTCGTCTACTTTCAGAATCTGTATCTAATTTTTTGTACTGCCATTGAAGTAACAGGAAGTCCACAACCTAGGCGAATTGTACCGAGCAAAAAATAGTATAGATATATATAAGATTCACGAGCCACAACCACCCGGATCCTGAACACTATATGATCCTAACAATAACTCTCTAATACCTAAAGAATGCCGAATAAAACTTCAATAAACTCTCCGCAATGTTTAGCTCAAGCACACAGATGGACTCTTAATTTGATAACATGTAGAAGCTTTGCATAGTAAAAAATAGAACCCAACATACAGATCTTTCCAAATATGACTAGAGGCAATCCATCAACACCACATAAAGACAACCAAATTTTAAGCGTTGGATTGTAAATATCCCTATTCTAGATCCAGGAATTGTTGTAAAGTGGGCTTGACCCCCGAACCCGACTGTTTGCACTGCTCTTCTTCAGCGAGATCCTGCAAAAGAGGGAAGTTGGAGCGGCATCTCCGTAAAAGTTTCTCTGGTTCTGACCGCTCCCACAACCGAATGGGCATATCTTCGCTGGTGTCCGGGCTGGAACTATGTTATCTTCGGCCCGCCCAAAGAGGCCCTCCCACCCGTTCACTCTACTTAGTGATCCGAGTAAGATACGTTGGAACGTTGATCACTCCTGGCCAACACACCCGGCTTTTAGACTGAATCTCCTCTTTGCTCTAAATCAAAGCACATTCCCTGTTGGTGTGTTCGTGTTTTGCGGGGATGTGGCGCATGAGTGCTCAATTGCAGTGCCTTCTCTTATACAAGAAACCCCCGGCCCGTTCGCTCCGTTGTCCAGTAGCGAAGGGTCTTGCCGGGACCGCAGACGCCTCAGCGGCTGCTCAATCAAGGATCGCATCCTGATTACACCCTGGTCCGATAGCTTCCCCAGCCTCGCAGAAACATACAGCACCTTATTCCCAATCACACCAAAACACCTTATCACTTCCCCTAATACACCTTTACCAATTCCCTTAACCCTTTTATTCTATTCAAACATTCCATACCAAACCCTATCTCATCATCCCATTTTTCCCACCTCTTTAATCATCATCATCATCATCTTTCATCTTTAAACACTCCTAATCAAAACCCCTTCTCCCACCTCCACCCCATTCACGTAATCCACCCAAACCCATTTCACCCAAACCCAACCCCCCACCCCCCTCCCCCAATCCCCCTGTGTTCCTCCCATTCTACAATCCCCTCCCCTAACTTACCCCATTCCACTCTCTCCTCATCTCCCCCACCCCACCCCCCACCCACCCCAAACAACAATACACTCCACTTACCCCCCCTCCTACCACACCTCTTCCAACCCCCCCCCCCAATCCCACCCCCCCCCTTACCTCTCCACCCCCTAACCCCCCCCATCCTCCACACCCTCCCCCCCCTCCTCCCCATACCCACCCATAATACTCCATCACCCTATACCATCACCACCCCCCACCAAACATAATTCCCCACCCATACCCCCCCTCCCCACCATCCACTCCCCTTCCCCCCACAACCCCCCCCCTATTTCCCCCTATCCGTTCTACTCCTATTTCAGATGCTACGACCACTTTCTCCCAGCTCCTTCCCATTTCTTGTTGTATCTTACCCACCCTATTTTTCTGCACCGCCTTGTCTCGCCTACCTATTCCTTCCTTAGACCATATACTCTTCACTACGCTTCAATGAACACTCTGTCCGTATTTTGTCTCACCCTAATTTTGCGTTATCTTAAATTCTATCACGCTTATGTTCTCCGGACCTTTAATTTCCCCAGTGTCGCCTATCTCTCGGCGCCTACTACCCGCCATTGTTTTGTAAATCTTTAGTCTATTTGTCCAACTACGCCTTTTATACTCATATTCTTCCCTCTCTCACCCGACCACTACCCCATCACCTACCATTTGCCCCTTTATCCATCTCCCTTCCCCCCCCTTCCCTACCCTCTACAACCAAATTCATCTCCCCTAACCCTACTTCATTCTTCTCTTCACTATACCATTACCCACCAACTCCCCTCCCCCCCCCATCCTACCCACATCCCACTCCCAATTATCTACCTCTCCCCATTTCTTGTATATCTAAACTCCTTTACATATTGTCTTCCTCCAACCACTCCAAAAGCTACACCCACTAACAAAGCGATTGATGAGGCAGCGAAGTTGTAGGAATAGAAATGTAGCCCCTTGCTCGCCATATCGGATTGATCGGCTAGACTACCCACTCTCCACCACATCATGTAAACTAGATCAACTCGACCGACGTCATAGTGTCCCCCTCTGACCAACAATCCACCTCACACACCACGTATTGGGTGTAGTGTTGTTAATTCAAAGTATCATACTATCGTATATCTAAACCGCCATCCTATCAAACTATTACCCTACAATAACTGCACCAGCTCACACTATTTACCACATCCCTCTAATATTTATTATAGAGCGAGCATCAAACATACCAAAGTACCTCTCTCATTATTATCTGACTGAGATTCTTAGGGTAGAGAGTTTCATCTTAATGGTGTCTCATTATGGCTGTTGTGCGCTAAGGTGCGTAGTGGGTGGGAGTGGTGAGTCTGCTTGGTGGGATGTTGGTGTGGTGTATGTTGGGTACACTAGATCTAGAACCTAATAATCTGCTGACAGTATCAATACTAATATTCCACGGTCTTCATGGTATTAACCACAGCTCCCTCTTTGTTGGTGTTTTGTGTCTGGGGACCTTTGAGAGTATTTTGTGGGGTGGCCTTGCGGACGTAAGTCACCGGCGCAGGAATACCCACCCTCCTCTATAAGATAGAACTTCTTTCTGGTTTATCCATCTGTTGGTAGGCGCGCGCGCTGTGTTGAGGGCTGGTGTGGTGTAGTTGTGGCTCGTATGTGTTGTGTGTGGAGAGGAGATGGATAGGGGGTGTTGTGTGTTGTGTATTTTTGGGAGGTCCAGCTCATCCCCCCTCGCTCATCTCGCCACCCCCTGTAGCTCCACCAACTCTACGCTCAGCTCTCGCCTATGGTCCTGAGCTGTGCCTCCCAATATGTAGCTAGCTTAGGTCCTAGATCATTACGCCTGTCCGTCCGGAGGAGCGGATCCCTTTCTCAAATGGGTCTCCCTCCCTGTGGGTTTCCCTAGTGCTCCCCAAGGTTTCTCACGTTTTCCCACTGGGTTTTTTAAGAGTTTTTCCTTGTCGATGCAGGAGGGTCTTGTTGGACAGTTAGTGTCCAACAGAAAGGATTGGTGATGATCAGGACACTTTAGCATTCTACAACATGTATGGACATTTTCTTCTGTGTGTGCTTTATATTCTTCATGTGTTTTAACTGTTGATTCTCTGACCTGTGTTGGTGATTTCAATGGTTTTGTTAAGTCCTCTGAGATGACTTCTGTTGTGACCTAGGGCTATACAAGAATAATATTGTATTGTATTGTATTGTATTTTTTTCTCCATCTTCGCTCTGCCACCCTGCACTGTCTTTTCATACTCCTTGCTTCCTCATTTTTCCAAGGGGCTATAGATTTTTGTTGAATGGTTAGAATTTTTAATGGAGCAACCTGATCCAGTGTAGTTCTTAGTCTACTGTTAAAATCATCTGCTATAAACCATCATCATCATCATCATCATCATCACCACTCTTGAGGGCCCCCCAGTGGCTTCATAGCAGTAAGGAGCATGCCCAGAAATCCACTACACCCTTTACCTGGCCAATTTACCCTGATAAAAAGTTGCATATCACTGAAAAAATGAGAGCAAGGCCACTTTTCAGTATGTTTCGAGTCTGTGAAGCTAACTTACCATTTTGAAATCATTATCGATCCAATAATGGAATCCTGCTGGTCACTGTCCCTGCAAGACGGCCAAAGCTACTTTACACTGCTACTTTCCTTGGTTCATTATAGTATAATTCACTTCAGATTGATCACACAAGCTGCCACATCCCCTCAAACACAAACCCAGAGTTAGATAAGAGCAAAGAGGAGTTCATTAGAAGCTGGAGTTTGCAGGGGATACGTTTCAATTAAAACTCGGCTCAAAAGAGAAGTGGACGGGGGGTGGGATTTCCTCTTTGTTCCGGGCTGAAGATAACATTGTTCCAGCCCCTGAGCCCCAGTGAATATATGCCCAAGGTTGTGGAGCGGTCAGAAACAAGAAACTTTTACTGATAGCCCGCTCCAACTTCCACTTTGCATTATCTCGGCTGAAGAAGATCATGCAAAGATTCGTGTTTCTGGGGTCAAGCCAATTACAATTCTGGATCTAGAATATGGTATATTTATCAATTTACATAAGAATTGTTTTTTTTTATTTTTTTTTTATGGATGCCTTATTCTATATTTTGAAGATCTGTATTTTTTTTTCTATCTTTTTACTATGCTAAAGCTACACATGTTATAATTGATTCATTTTTTTGCTAAAATTGGAGATTTTATTTAATTTTATTTTATTTAGTATAGAGGTTTTTAGTATATAGTTGTTCATGTATCTTGTGTTGTGTCTCTTAATCTTATATATATATATATTTTTTTTTTTACAATTTCCTAGTTTGTGACTTCCTGTTACTTGCAATGGCAGTACAAATAATTATGATTCAGATTCTGAAATGTATCCGACTATGATCACTACACTTAATGGCACTGACTGATGTGTCTAATTTGTGTTTCCAATTAGTTTGCTTTTTTACTGACATTTCCACTGAAGTAAAAGGGTATTTACTTTCCCTCGTTCAATTGTGCTCTAATGGATCTTGTTCTTTGGCATTCTGGAATGCTGAGGTCATCACATTTTGCACTTGACATGTGATGGATTAGTGACTGCAACAGACCGGAAAACAGCTCAAGGCACTCGTAGAGAGAAAGGTAATAAGATTACTGATTTCAGATTACTTCTTCAATGAGTAATCACATCACTACTGTAATTATTTTATTTCACAAGTGATATAAATATTGGGTACAACTTTTTTTTCCATCAAAACATTTTAATGATGGGTTCAATCAGGGCCTTTTGGGACCGCCCCAAATGTATTAAGCATTTTGACTTCCATCACCTCCAAGTTGAATCACTTGTTCTTTGTACCATTATGGAGGTTTCCTAAACATTTTTTGTTAAACATTATTGTATTTCAACTATTTCCAGCCTGCTGGTGAATCCAACCACACCTCTCTGTGTGTCTCTGCTTTGGTCCATTACAATACCCCCATTACTTTACACTCTACGTCACTTTCTAACAAACAAATGAACAAACAAAGTAAGTAAGCCATCTTTTTTTATATAGCGCCGTTCACAGACCAGAATCACAAAGCGCTTTACGATTGTTGTGGGCATTTGTCCTCCCACTGGGAGCGGGGTCACAATACATGAGGCGCATGCTAGACCTATTTTACATGTTTTTAGTGGTAGCACGCAGACACGGGGGAGAACATGCAATCTCCATAGAAAGGCCTGGAGGAGGAATCAAACCCTGCAGGACCTTCTGCACAAACCAACACCATCCATCACAATCCTCGGCCAACGCAAATAAAACTCTAAACGCATACATTTGAAAAATAAAGGACAAGACGGGCCTCCTGCTGGTGTCCAGAGGCAGAACAAAAACATGGGGAGGCCGCGTTTCAGATTCATGCTGCTAAAATCTGTCTTCCTTCTTTTCAGATAGTGTTCAAATCCAGGTCTTAAAAGCAGTTATGTTTAGCTGTGCATTCAACTGAGGGATTTTTATCTTTACTCTTTTGAATGTACTGTTTAGCACTTGGAGTTGCCTTGTGTATGAACTGGACTGTACACATAAACTTGCCTTGCCTATTCAAGAGTAACATGTTATGAGAAAACCCTCAGTCCCAGTTATGCGACTAACACGCATATGATCTGGGAGTTGTAATAAATTGTTTTCTTTCCCTGGCCGGCTCCTTATCCACTCCTTTCAGTAGAAACGTGCTACAGAAAAGCGTAATTAGAAAGCCAGTAACTAATAAGTGACCCCTGGTGCTAAGATCTGACATGTGGCTGAATCATTATGAGGGATCTCGGCCTTCATTTTAAAGTTGAGTAAGACACAGAAGTGCGAAAATGGAATTCTGCTCATGCAAAGAATAATGTAATTGAAAGAGGCAGACGTGTTGCAAAGTGATTAATTCATGAAATTATGGGATATAATGAGACACCAAAACACTGTATCATGCTGATAAATGCTCGCATAAATAATCCCAAACTTTCTTCTATTAAGTCAATATTAGGGGTTGAATTTTAATTAGTTTTAACGTGCGCTGTGTACATTTTTCTAGTGGTACTGATTAATTATTAGTGCTTGGTTTTACGTGTTTGACCATTAAGATCAGAAAGAGGCATTTGAGGTTAAAACGGCACGATTTCACACATAAACTTTAGCAATGAGGATTTATTTAAACAGATGGGGTCATGTGCTGGATTTCTATTTCAGTT